TGCTCGTGTTCAAATTGTTCAATCAAGAATTGTTCAATTAGGTTCTGGAAAGACTTCTTCTAAGTATGACAGGCTGTTAGCCTTTTTTGATACAAGTGTGTTGGACTTCATGATTTTGATGATGACACAACCTCACTTACTTACAAACTAATAAGTGCTTGATTGTTTAAGTGTGTACTCAGTTACAAAGACTAGGAGAATGAAGTGTCTTGTAAAAATACCATGAGGAACAAGAAGGCCAGAAGCAAAGCTAGCCATATAGAAGAGTTCCCTCGCAGGAATTGGCGCTTCAGAAATGAAGACTGGAGAAGAGAAGGTTCCCTCGGGGAACAGAAGCTTCAGAGAAGAAGCCTCACCAGAGAAGAGAAGTTCCTGCCAAGGAACAGAAGCCTCGGAGCAGAAGCTTCATCAGAGAACATGAAGACTAAATATATTTTTATATTTTAGGATTTATGTAAGTATAAGATATTAAGTAGCATTCGAAATATTGTGTGGAATTGGTCTTAAAAAGATAAAATTGTGTAGGCTAGTTTTTAGGAAAGTGGTTAAAGCTTATCTTTTTTAACCAAAAAGATTTTATTTTATTTCTGATTTTCGAAAATATCTTTAGAAAATAAAATCTCCCACGTTTTTCTAAAAGCTTGCTGCCTACTCCTCCATGATCTTCTTTAAGTCATGGTCTTGCACATTGAGGAGTTCATGTTTCCTTAATTTTAGGAACATGATCTTCTTAATGGGTTGGAGTAGTGGCGTTGTAGATTTGCTGCACAAAGAAGTTTTTCCTAAACGAATTTTGGTCTATAAATAGCTGTTGATTTTTGTTGGAAAAACTCACCCTTGCTCACATAAGTTTTCAAGCTTCAAATCGAGTCAAGTGTCAATTCCACACAAGTTCATTAGAGTGTTCTTAATGTTCTTATACTAGAGTTTGTTTTTCTTTCGAGTTGTAATTTGGGGAATGGGGAAGTTCGAGTGAACGTTTGTGTATGAGAAAGAGAAGAGAGAAAGAGAAGAGAAAGAGAAGAGAAAGAGAACAGAGAACAGAGAAGTGAGAAGAGAAAAAGAGAAGAGAAGAGTAACAAGTTGGGTGACTTGTTCCTCAGGGTCTCAAGTTCGTAGAGGAACTTGAGTTTGAGTCTTTAGCTTGTAATAGGATCATTTGCCCTATTATAGTGAAGATTCTTTTCCCAAAAGCCCAAGTGGTCGTGGTTTTTTCTCCTTGTTAGGGCCAAGGAGTTTTCCATGTAAAATCTCTCTTGCATTCTTTAGTTCCTTTAGTTAATCTCTCAGTTCCTTTAGCTAACTTAATTTTAATTCCGCAAAAAGTTTGGCTAAATTCTCATACTACAATTCAACCCCCCCTTCTTGTAGTATTCATTAAAACAACAAAGTGTAGCTAAACGTTTGGCTAATAAAGATAAATAGGTTAGTATTTCAGAACTTTATAAACATTAGACTTTTTTGTAATGTTGATTTAAGTACTATTTTGTAATTTTGAATTTTCGATCTATTATGTAAAAGACATAATTATTATATTTTATATAGTACTATTTTTAGTATATTTGAACATTATATTAGAATTTTATATGTTTTTAAAATTCTACATTTATCAATGATTATTTAGTCATTAGAATTTATATGTTTTAAAATTCTACATTTATCAATGATTATTTATTCATGTGTATATGAACAAAAGTAAGAACCAACATCAAATTTATAAAACTTATAAAAAACTTTCATTCAAAGATTAAAATGAAATATCAATTACAATAATATTTTTAAAAATAAAATCTATAAGTCTATTTCTTAAAAAGAAAAAAAAAACAGAATAGAGTCTATATATAAGATATGAACATATACATAGTTGTAAATGAACATTTGAAACTACAAAGTTTGCAAACTTTCTTGCTTTCCTTCTATTTGCTCTTGATTCGGTGTTTTCTTCAAATAATATCAGTTCTGCTGTGTATTGGAGCCTTATCTTCCTAATTTGTTCCACCTGTTGAACAAAATGATTTGTCAAATTTTAATTAAACAATCTTTACTGTTTCATAAATGAACATTATATCTTAAATAATTGAACATTTATAACTCTTACATTGTTTGGTTTTAAATCACAAATCCAGCTCTCATTAGGATCAGCATTGAAGGTTTCCATATGCTTCATAATGTAAACTCCACAGTTTGTATAATTATCGTTGCTACGCCATTTCATCTTTTCCAAAACAACTGTGTAGTCTTCAATTCTATTTGCATCTTCATATCCAAGGTGTTTCATGTACTCTGCCAATCCTTTTAACTGATAGAAGCAAGAGTAAAAATTGTTTAGAAGTTGGTATTGTGATGAAGACATGAACAATTAATAAAATATAATTGATCATGTAGCCAAGTATAAATGAACATATTATCTCACCATCATTTTTGGGTGTTCTTCATATTTTTCTTGGACTGATACATGTTTGGGTAGTTTTCTATTGTCAATTATATGAATTTTGTCTTCTATATGATTGACGCACAACAGAAAAAAATGTTGAGAAGTTGATACTGAGAAGAAGAAGACCTGAACAAATTATATATGTTATTGGACAATATACTGAATGTAATTGGACATTTGTATTAAACAAGAATTAATACTTGTTTATATCCAACAATGCTGTCAATTTTATTCCCCTTCAGTTCATTGTCAATTCTTTATATGAAGGCATTAAATCTTGTCTTCATTGACGATCCTTCTCGACAAACTCTATTTGTGCACATAATGTGCTGTTGAAAGAGAAACAAACATGTAGAAGTTTAATGAATTTTTAGCAATTATTTATCATAGGAAAATAGAATCAATAATATATATAAAAAAAAAAAAAAGACTAACATGAAGCATTGTTGAGAAATAAATCCTGTTTCTCGGCTTTTTATGATTAAGAAACCTTGCCCATCCATCTATGACACAATTTGTCACTTCAACATCATCTACAAGAGTTTTCATTTCTTTTCTATTGATGAGATTCAAGCCATCATAGTATAAGAGTGCACTGCATTATGAACATTTAATAATATGAATGTGAACATATTTTTATAAAATATATTTAACCTTAAGTTTAATTAGTATAAGTAATTACCTTTCATCTTTTCCACCAAGAGCAAAGTCTACTGCAATTTGGTTCATGGCTTTCTCATCTTTAAACAGATCCTTGTACTTGACCAAGTAAGGAGATCGGAAAGCAGGAGGAATTGTTTGCTTTTCACGTTGTGGTCTTGTTGTTCAATATAAAATATTGTTAAATTAAGAAAATTATTAGGAATATAAATCAACATCTGAGTGTATATAATTTTTTTTTGAAATTATACCTTTCAACCTTTTCCTTTCCAGTTTTTTTCTCTTTTTTTGCAATTGACTTTTTCTTTTCATCATTCCTGATCATATTACAAAACACAAATGTACATTAAGGTATATGAAAATGTTCATTATTATTTTTGAACACTAACTTAATATAAATGTACCTTTTTGTGACTTTTGAGGATGAAGCAACAATCTTCTTGTTTTCACTGAAATGTCATACAATATCAGTACATATTAATAAAATATAAGCTTCTTATATAACACTTTGTGTGCATTTTCAATTCATAAAATGAAAGATATTGATTTAACATAAACCACACATTCATATTACATATTCAACAAAATATTGTACACACATACAATAGTTTATGAAACTCCAAATTCAAGTTACGACACGATAGTTACATAAGTTAAATTGTTCCATCTAGATAATTTATCCTTACTAATTACATAACCCTATAGTAAGACATGTGTTCAAGATTTTACCCCTCCACTTTTTCATCATTTTTTGTTTTTTCAAAAACATCTTCCTTGTTTTGTTCTGCACCTCCAATTGTGTTTTTTGGATCATCACTTTTTTCACCAACATCTGACCTAGGGTTAGCATCAACCACTGAACCAGATCCTGCATCTAAGAAAAAATTCAATTAGATATGAATATTATTTCTTTGTAAATGAACATTTAACTCTTTATAATTGAACATTATACCTGTTCTAGGCAATCCTTCATTATCTGACCTAGTGTCAGCATCAAATTTTGAACCAGTTGCTGCATCTAACAAAAAAATACAATTAATAATGAATATTTCTTCTTTGTAAATGAACATTTGACACTTTTTAATTGAACATTATACCAGTTCTAGAAAATTCTTCAATAATTTGTTCTGAAGCTGTTGAAGTTTTACCCACATCCATTTCTCCAGCTGTATTATAAATCATCATTATGGAGATACACTAAGTTAATAGTATTTACACATAATAATTAGAAATGAACATTTCTATTCAAGTTTATGTACATTATTTATTAAATAAATGAACATATTACCATTTGTTGAAATTATTGGTTGTTCAATTATATTACCAAGTGTTGAAGAGGTGGGCCCTGTTTCTGTTTTTTAAAATAAAGAAATTAGGACAATTTAGACCACAAATTGAGAATTTTTCATATAAAAATTAGGATAATCTCTTTGAGTTAGAATTTACCAATGGCTGGAGAAGGTGGAGTCAACCCCAAGCTGAAAGCTTTTCTGATGTCATATTCTTGTTCTTTTTCCTTTTTTTTTGGTCAATTTCTTCCCAATCATTTGCGTCTCAGTTGTTTGCTTTTCAGACCCTTGCATCAGATTCTTCTCAGCTTGTGCAAGTGCATTTAGGAAATCCTCACTGCCAAAGAATTCTTTATCTTGGCTTAGAATTGATGGTTCCCTAGCTGCCACCTTTCCTAACACTTCATCAACTTTTTTCACCAAGTCATTTCCAGGGAAGATGTCCTTTGCCTTCACCAATTTTGAAGAAAGCTTTGACAGGTTTGAACAAGTTGTATTTACCAGGAAACAAAATCATCCATGAAAACCTATATGAATGAATATTAAGAATTATGCAGGTGAACATTTAAGATGATACAAATGAACATTTATGTTAACAAAATTGATCATTTTATAACCTCAGGACTTTCTTCAACTTCTGTAGCAATCCTTGGTAGAATTTTTCCTCTCCCAAATCCCAATTCTAATTCAATCTTCAACCTCTCAAGAACCATGTCTCTATTACATGCAGATATGATAGGAAATGTTCTTGGAGGCCATTTGTCTAACTCTGAACCCTATCAAAATAGAACAACTACAAGAAAAAAGAAAACATGGAACAGAACATAAACAATACAAAAAGAGCATTTATTTAAATTTAAATGAACATTTTGTATCTAAGAATATACCATCAGAAATTGAAGAGGGCCTTTGTAGAACCCCTTGCCTTGCTGCTTTCTCCAATCAACATGACATTTGATAAGTGAGTCATATACAAACTGACACCAGTTCAAATTTTTTATTTTTTCTTTGTCCATAATAGAATAAAGAAATTTGAAATGGCATTGATTGTTTGATACACATTTCATCAAGCAGTTCACAGCCACTGCTAAAAAGTTAGTAATGAAATGTTCACTTGGTGGTCTGTTGTTGGTGAATTTATCATTTATGTATCCATTCACAATCTGCAAACAAAATGAACAAAACATTTATACTTTTGATCATTTAATGTATTTAAAATGAACATTTAAAACTGATCATACCTGACTCACTGATGGAGTTTTTCCCGACCATGATTTTCTCCATTTCTTCAGAAATTCTGCATATTCCTCACTAATTTTATCAGACTTTGGCTCAACAATTGGAATTTCTCCTGTAGGAAAGCCATAAACTACCCTCACATCCTCTACCTCAATTTCTATTTTTTCATTCTTTGGTAGTTCAAAACACTGGCTATTCTCTTCAAAACTTCCCAATAACCAATTACAGAACTTTTGATCAAGTTGAGGTAAACTAATGTCAAGAAGTGATCCTAACCCTATATCAACAACTTGTTGTTTTTGGGTAGGTGTCATCTTTTTTATCCATGCAATGAACTTCACATGTCCTCCTCTCTTTGAAGATTTCTCTTCCTCAAATTCATCTTCCTGTATTTCCTCAACTTCATCAGTTTCCATTGCTTGAACAATTTCAGTTTTCATTTTCTTTTTTCCCCTACCTTCAATCTTTCCTTCATCATACAGTACCATCTTCTGCTCCCCCTTTTCAGCCTTTGGCTTCACTGAATTCCCTTTCTTTGCCTATTTCTTCTTTGGCTTTACTTCCTCCTCTTCCTCCTCATCCTCCACCTCATCATCATCCTCACTGACAGGCTCTGCTTCTGCTCTGTAAACTGACTCTTCACTATCATCATCACTGTCAGTAGAATATTCATCAGTAGGATCTTGAGATGGTTCATTTGATGGTACTTCTTGTATTTTTTTTTCTCTTTCCAGCATTTTTCTTGGCAGGACTGACATCTGAAATTTAAATTTATGATTTTGTTAATGTATTGAAAATGTACAGTAAGCAAATGATAAAATGAACAAAATTGTTTTCTCAAATGATCATTCTATATATAGGAATTGAACATTTATAATATATCATTATATACCTGCTTTTCTTTTGCCAGCAACCTTAGAAGTTTTCTTCACTTCTTCGAGTTTTCTTTTTTCCACCTATATATTGAAATTGGAACATTAATGATATACCATCATAAATGATCATTCTATACATTAAGATTGAACGTCTACCCTTTTTGCCTTGGTCTTGTACAACTTTTTTAGCAGAAGCACCTGGATATTTTGTGGTTGGAGTAGGTGCTGGAAGATATTCAGCAGGAGCTCCTGCCATTTTTCTAATTGGAGTAGGTGCTGGAGATGGTGCATCAGCTTCCTTTTGAATAGGAGAAGTCCTTGTAGACATTCTTCTCTTCTGACCTATTTTTGCGGTTTCTTCAGCAGGTTCAACATCCTTCTTCTGACCTCCCTTTTCAGATTCATCTAACAGAACATCTATTTTTTTTAAAAAAAATTTACGTTAGTATATTTGAAAGTGTAATATTTATTGTTAAATAGAAAAGTATTATGATTACCTTGGCTCCTTGTAATTCTACCACTTGGCACAACAACAGGGCTTTTGTTTTTGTTTTTCCTTGCAACCATTTTGTATCTTGTTTTCATTTGGTTGACTGATCATTTTTTGTGATGATGGAGCTGTCTCCTCACTCATTTTTGTGAAATCTTTATCCACATCTTGATCTAGAAGATGAGTTTCATCCTCAATTTGAACAAAATCAGGTGCAATTTGTGCTGCATATGAAATGATCAAATATAAAAGATTAAATAAACATTTATGTAAATAGGATGACAAATGTTTACCATATACAATATAAATGAACATTTCAGATAATGAATATTACCTTTCTCTTTTGCAGTTAAATCTTCCATTACTTTAGACTTTTGTGTGTCTTGCTTTTGTCCATCTGTGTAATTTTAGTTAGTGAAATTTATTAATATTTTTGAACAATTATAATTATGAAGATTTAAAATGAACATTTAGTGTAAAAAATATGTACATTTTCCACTATTTACCTTCCAGATATGTTGTCTTTGGAGACTCATCTTCCATAGTTTTCTCTTTAGGGATTTTCTCCTTTTCAGGCTCTTTTTTTCCCTCTTGTCCTTCTATGAAAATTTAATTAGTTAAAATTTATATTTTTAATCTTATTGAACATTCAATATTATGTAGATCCAATATGAACATTTTATGTAATAAAAATGTACATTTAAAATTTTTTACCTTTGAGCTCTGTCTCCCCAGTTTTGTCTCCTACTGGCCCTTTTTCTTTCTGTTTCCCCAGTTTTCCCAGTTCACCTGCAAATAAATAGTATTTTTTAAATTGATAGTTATAATTATTAAATAAAAATATTCAATAAATTTGAACATTTACCTCTCTTGATTTCCATTCTTGCCTTTTCCATTCTTTTGAAACTTTCCATGGTTCTGATTGTTGATTGTTTGTACTTCCTGTAAATTTATGATACTGTTAAATAATTTTGAAATATCTACATTATTTGATTATATTAATTCACTAATTCAAATTTAAACATACTTTGGGTTTCTCTCTATGTCTACATTATTTGTTGCATCTTGTCCTTTAAGGTTATTATTTTCGATTTATTTTTTTTCCTTGTAGGCTTCTGTTGATCATCATCTTTGGGTTTTATGATAATTCATTAAAAATATGTTTGAATTCACAATTTTGATAACATAAATTAAAAATGAACATAGAGTCTAAAGAGAATGAACATTCAACTTATCTCAATGTTCACCAGGAGTATTCTTTTCTGTTTTGCTTTGCAAATGAACATAAAGTGTATAGAAAATGAACATTTAACTTATCTTACTTTTGGATAGGAGTATTCTTTTCTGTATTGCTTTTCCCTTCTGGTTGAACTTCTTTCAGTTTGCTGAAATCAATATTAAAAAAATTCTTTAATAAAAATGCACATAAATGGTACACAAAATAGACATTTATCAAAAATTAAATGAACATTATTTATTAATACCTTTGATCAACATCATGTTTGTCCTTTTCAGATATAATTGTATTCTGTTTTTGCTCCACATTCTTTTCGCTGAATATTGTATATATTCATTAATTAGAATTTGTATTATTAAAAATGAACAAATTATGTATGTAAAATGTACATTTATTTGTATACAAATGAGCATTAGTATACCTTTGATCCCTACTCTCTTTGTCAGTTGTGTTATGAGTAGCAAACACACTCTTTGTTGCATGAGTAGCAGAGATGTTCTCACTTTGTTCACTTTAAAAAATAGAGTTATTTTATATAACATGACATTAAAATATGAACTAATTTATACAATGAAGAAGAGGATAAGTTATTTTGGTATAAAGCTTTTATCCCTTATTGGTTGATTTGTCTCTGGTGGTCTTGATTTTGACATAACAAATTTCACTCGAACTTTTTTTTTTCACTAAAATTTTAAGAAGTACCTATTAAGTTTGGTATACATACACAATGTACAATGATTGCATATAAAACCATTTATTTTACACATATAAACTTACTTGTTTAAAGTGTATCTTTGATAACTATTACCAATTTCATTTTGTTCTATAACCTTCCTTAGAGTTAACGGTTCAGATTTTCCATCTCTAAATTGGAGTAAGTGTATCACTCTAAATGGCACATCACTACAATATAAATTAATTACAGGACATTAGTTTGAATGCATACAAATGATTATTCTCATATTTATATATGTGCATCTTGTTTCAATGAAATGTACACTTGTTATTTAAACCCCAATTAATACTCAAATGAACAAATATAAATATATGATCACAGCTATATATATAAATGAACATTATGAATATCAAATATGATCATGTACAATTATGTTTCAATAAAATGTACATTTGTTATTTAAGCCTTTATGAATACTCAAATGAACAAATATAAATATATGATCATAACTATATCTATAAATGAACATTATGAGTGTCAAATATGATCAAATACAAATAGCATATTAAACAATCATAAAACCAAATATTATCAAATACAAGTAAAATATTACACATGATTATAATATATATTGTAAATGATTATTTACCTTGGAAGTGGAGAGATATTTAAATCCGTACCAATTGACTTGTCAATATCTTTTTAAAGTTACAATTGGAGTCTTTTCGCGGTTTTTTTTTTCAATTTTTCTACTCTTGACTGAAGAGGTACATCATCATCATCATCGTCTCTGTTTTATTTAATAAATTGTTAATGTTTTAATTGATTCGTTAATTTTCAGTAAAATCTTACTACAATCGCAATAATATGAACAAAAATTAGGGTTCATACATAAAATTGAACAAAATTGAACAAAAATTAGGGTTCATACATTTTTTCAAAATTTGTCACTGATTTACTCGTCTCTGAAGTGTTCTTCTCCAAAGTCATACTACAATTGCAAAAAATTGAACTAAATTCGCTCTATAATTTTCATCGCAAGAAAATGAACAAAATTACTTACTCTTTGGTAACATTTTGCTCCGATTTTCCAGTTTCATCTTGCATGTTCTTCTCTAAAGCGTTTTTTTTTTCCAAAATCACTCTACAATCACAAGAAAATGAACCAAAATTAGGCTTCATACAAAAAATTGTACTAAAATCGCAAGTAAATGAACAAAATTACTTACTCTTTATCAAAATGTTGCTGCGATTGTTTAATTTCATCTCGAATATCAGACATTTGAAGCAATTATGTAGTGTTTTGAAGCAATTTTGCAATAATTTGAAGCGAATTTCGTTCCGATTCGACGGTGTTGATGAGAGAGAAACTCTAGAGAAATGAAGAAGATGGTTTTTAGAGAGAGAAAATGATTTGAAATGGATAGTTTTTTTTTTTTTTTAAAATGTATATATATATGTGGGGTAGGGGAAGTTATTTCCTAATTTACAGCAGTTACTGCAGTTAGTGGGGGTAGTTACTGTAGTTTGTGGGGGTAGGGGAAAAACGCAAAACGCTGCGTTTTGTATGGGGTGTTGGTTGTGGTATCTACACTGGGGTCTAGTGTATACCGATTATCCTTGTAGTCGGTGTTAAGTAAGCGATCTCGAAATTCCATCTACAGATAATCTTCATTAGCGTTAAAAAGCAGCGCGGCAAACGGACTATATTATCATACGCCTCCCTTATTTTTCCACCTCACTCTTTCTCTCTCCTTTCAACTCTGATTTCCATCTCTCTCCTTTTAAGCTTCTTCGAACTCATCAATGGCGGATTCAACAGAAACCACCATCAAAACAACATCCACAAATGAAGCGTCGGAAAGTTCTTCCGCCACTTCAGCTCCGCCGGAAACCTCTTCCGACACCACAATCCCGCCGGAAATCAAGCCGGCAGAAGTTAAACGTTCTTGGGGCGACGAAGTTGACGACGAAGAATTAGCCGTCGATCAGCTTTCAATCAAAGAGAACCAAGACTTGGATGAGCCTGAAGATTCCAACATTAAAGCGGTATATCACTCCGGATTTGATCTTATTAGGGTTTTTTGATTTTTGTTTTTTTGGGTAAAAGTTGAAATTACGGTTTGTTTATTGGAAAATTGTTGTGGATTAGGTTACAACGGGAGATACACCGTATACATCAGCGAAAAAATTTGAAGATTTGAATTTGTCTGAGGAATTACTCAAGGGTTTGTATGTTGAGATGCGATTCGAAAGGCCGAGTAAAGTTCAATCTATTACTTTGCCTATGATTTTGACACCACCGCACAGAAATTTGATTGCTCAAGCTCATAATGGATCTGGAAAAACTACCTGCTTTGTTTTGGGAATGTTGAGTCGTGTTGATCCTAAGCAGCAAGCTCCTCAAGCTCTTTGTATTTGCCCTACCAGAGAATTGGTTATTCAGGTCGGTCCGAATCGCTTTAATGTTTGATGCTTTCATCTTGGTTTCTTTCATGTTTTTAGTTTAGTTAAAGGGTTTGCACATTGTTTGTATTCATAGTTAAAGAAAACATGTGGTGTAATTGAATTGAAATAGAATGTAAATTCTCTACTTGCAGAAAATATAACCTCGAATTTTGACATCGTGCTTTCGATCAGTTTTATTTGCTGGGCAGTGGGCACAGCCTTTCAACTGATTACTGTTGGTAAAAATGGTTCTTTTCACATTAAAGAGAGTAGAGCAGGAAAAGGGGTCTTTTAATCGGATGTATGTAGAGTATATTTTCATTTTCATATAATACCTCCGTTCAAAAGTTGCACATAATATGTAACGGAGGTAATAGTTTGTTTGTGCTGTTTATGTCATTTTGATGATTAATCTATCAACTCATATATTGATTGTTATGGTCAAATTCCAGTTATCAATCTAAAAGGATTTATAAAAAAACTGGTGAGTGACGTAGTAGTAAGGGGAAGTTTATGTTAATTAAAGCATTTAAAATCATCTTCCGTATATTTTTTGTTGATTGCGTTTTTTCTTTTGCTGAAAATTGCTTGGTTGGATGACAGAACTTAGAGGTGCTGCAAAAGATGGGGAAGTATACCGGAATTACTGCAGAGAGAGCAATCCCTGAAAATTTGGATAATCCAACACATACTCCGATTAATAAGCGGCCTCCAATAACAACCCAAGT